AGGTTTTCCAAAGTAATTAATTCCTAAGCTTAATCATTCTTTTGTTATTGATATTATAATTCTTGCGATCCTTTGATTATTCAGAATGATATTTTTACGAAGCTTCTTCAGCAATCCTTTATTATTAAATCTATATTTATAATTCATTATTTTAACTAAAAATGTTAATAGTAATAGTCTACCATTCTAATTCTGCAATAGTAGATTATAAATGGGATGTCATTTACTCCAACCTTTATTTTTCCTCCTATAACTAATCTATTAGTATTTAATTTGCCCTATTAAAATTAATTTGATTATTTATACCTTTGCTTATTCTCCAAAGTAAGAATTTTATTATTATTTTTATCAATTTGATCCTCTAGATAGTGTATTTGATCTTATTAATCATTTACAAGCTTAATGTTAGCTAACCGTTCTTTCTTGATGTCTTCAGCTAAGTCATCTCCTGCTTGATTTTCTTCATCTTAGGTAAATTCAAAAAGAACTTAACTTTTCGATTTATTATGGGAGAATGTCTAATCTTTCTCATAGAGTTAATTTTATAAATCTTATCTACGTTTTTCTGTTTCTTATGCTATCTTTGAAGATTTATTGGGGTCAGATTCTCTATTGTAAATTGGACTTGGTGCGCTCCCTCTATTAATGAAATCTTAAAGAGATCTTAAATATATTTAAAATTAACATACTTATTTTATTCTTTTAATTATTTAATCTCTTCTTGCAATTCCTTTATTGTATTTGTTAATTCTTACTACTTTAAATTCAATTAGCGTTATTAAAATATATTCTCTTCTTATTCAAATGAATCATTATCGGCTACATCTTAATCTTCAACACCAATATCAGGTAATTAATCAAAGCGAATTTATTCTTAGCTTAATTTTGATCTATTACTTAGTTATGACACTTGATTATCCATAAGCTTATTTTCAAAATTCTCAGTTTTTTCTTTCTTTTCATAAAGTTCTGTTTACAAATTTTATATAGTTTGTTCATGATCATTCAATTTCTAATTGTTTAATTCTAATTCTAATTATAAATCATATAAATTCCTTTTTAAAATTTCATTTTCTTCCCTTAATTTTAAAATTTATTAAGGTTGTACATTACTAACTTTTTGTTAATATTGTTTTTATTAAATTTATTATTATTCTGAATCCTAGTCTATTTGTCCTTCATCCTAATTTATCTCTTTATCTAAAGGTCTGGGTGAATTATTATTATATTTTCTTGCTTCTAATTCCTATTGTAGATTTAATATTGTTTCTTCATGATCATAAATCCTTTGATTGTTTATAATTAATTCTTTTTCTTAATCTGCTAGTTATTTCCTTATAATATTATTTTCTTCTCTCAATTTCTAGAAAAGAACCCTTTCTTCGTTTACTAATTCCTAATCTGTTTCATTAATCCATCTTTATCTTGCCGATTTTATATCTATAAGTTATTATTATTCATTCACTGAATTTTTATTATTTTCATCAAAGTCATCAAATTCTTTAATTTAATTTACATACTAACTCTGATTAAATTTATTAGTAATAACATCATTCATGTTCTGTTTAAGCTAATCAGTAGGTTTCTCTTTTTCTTCTATAACATTATTTAAACTAGTTATCTCGTCCTCAAATTAACCAATGTTTGATTTTTATTTTTTGATTTGCAGTTATTGTTGAAATTCCAATTTTTCGAATTCTCCTTAATTTTTTAATTCTTCAATTTAATTTTACAAAATTCTTATTTCAAACTACTATTTTTAGATAATTTATTAATCACAACTAAATCTTTCTAAATAAGTATTAATCGATTCTTTTAAATCATTTAATTCATTTTATTTTAATTAAATTTCATCATCCTTATCTTCTATAATTGCTTCTATATTAACTATTCTCAAATTTAAATTCTGTTCTTGTTGTAATGATTGACCCTATAGTATCTTATTTTAATCTTATAATTCCTTATTACTCGCTTTTAATTCTTCATTAGCTGAATTAATTCTTGATATTTCTTCCTCTTTTTTTTTAAGGTTTATCTATAGCTATTCCAGATTTTACTAAAGAACTAAAGATTAGCTTTCATATTTTATTTTTTATTATTCTAAATTGTCTTATAGCTGTAAAATTTCATCATCCTTGCACTTTAGTTTTTTGAGTCCCTCCTCTTTTATATTATTTAACTCAACATTTTTAATTTCATATTCTTAAGTTTTTAAATTAATCTCTTTGACTTAATCTTATAATTTTTATTTTAATGTTTAAATTTCTTAATCCTTAGCCAAAAGAATTTCATTAATGTTATTAATTTGATCTTATAACTATTAAATTTACTGTTTAAACTAAGAATTTGATTCTTGAATACTGTTTAAATCATTTGATAATGCTTATTTATCGATTATTTACCGTTCATTTAATGCATCATTTATTTTTCTAAAAGATTCTATTTCTTAATCCTTTTAATTAATAGTATTGTTAAGTTTAACAATCTATTTTTTAATTTGCACAATTTATGAATTTAAATCTTCTTTGGCTTCTCTCTCAATTTTAAGATTATCTTACAATATCTAATTTTCTTAATTAAGTGAACTTGATTAAACTAAATGTCTATCTATCAATTATTTCATTTCCATCTAAATTGAATTTAGTTCAATGTTTAACAATTTAGTTACTTCTTACTCTTTGTTGAATTTGTTCTTTATAAAGTTAAGACGAAGAATTTATTTTTCTTAATATTAATTCTACTTTTCTGTAATTTCTAATAAATTGTTTAATACATTATTCAAGAAATTATTTTGTTACTCTGAGATTTTAACTTCAATTATTTTTATTTCCTATTGCCTTTTTAAAATTAATTCTTCTTATTCGCACTGAGAATTAATTTAAAATTATTTAATTTCTTTACTCAAAATTTAAATCTATTCATTTTTTTTTGTTAATTCCTAATTGAAAATTTCATTTTCATTCTTTATTGTTGAATTTTCTTATATCTTTTATTGGATTTCAGAGTTCCATTTGGATTATTAATCCTAATAATCTTATTAGAGTTATTTTAATTCATTTTCAAACTCCTATTTTTATTGTGATAAAAATGCGTTTTATGCCCCAATTTATTCATTTAAATCAATTTATTTTTCTAGTTTAGATATATTCTACTATTTTTCACTTTCTAATTTATCATTTAGATTTTTCAATTCTGAGTTTAATTCTTAATTTTAAAGTACCTAATCATATAATTAATTTGATTTATCTTATTATTTTAATAATTGTTGATTTAAATCATCAATGTTATTGGAGTATTTGTTGATTAACTAACTTATTAAATCTTATTATTATATTATTTTTTATCTTAATTTTGGTAGCAATCTTAAAAGAGTAATTTCCAATTTTTAAAATTTTTATGGCAATAATTTTAATTGAGAAATTGGATCATTTAATTTTTATAAATTTAATTCTTATCCATTTGCTAAATCTGTAATTTTTTATAATTAAATTTCGTTTATTATTTTGAGTTTTTATAAATTCGATTCTTAAATATTGTTATTTTACACTAATTCATTATTAACCTTATGTAAATCTACATTCTGTTATTCCTATACATTTAATTATTATTCTAGATCTTTAATTTTTTATTCTAGCTATTCATTTAGCTGTTAAAGTGATTCTATACGTTGATAGGTTTCATTTATTTTTATATCAAGTTCCAAATTTTTTTGTTATTCCCCAAAATATAATTGCTTTAATTCATTTTCTTGAATTTTTAAGTTTATATCTTATTAATCAATCAATTGATTATTGATTAGTTATAATTTTTTAATTTTCTATTCCAATTTGTGATTCTAAAAAGATAAATCTTTATTTTCAATCATTAATACATCAATTTCTTATTAACATTACTTATTAATATATGATAATTGTTACTCCTTTTCTATTATCAATTAATTATGAAGAAGTTTTAGTTATTCATGCTATATTGCTAATATATTTAACTCTTATTTTGATTATCCATTATCGATTTCCTATATTTGATTTCTTTATTCATTGATTGTTTACTCAAACAAACTTAAATTTTTCTATTATTAAGTGAATTATTCATTTATTAAATTATATTTTTCATTTATCTATTCAATTTATTTTAGTTGATCAATATTTTATGATTTTTAATCTTTAATTTATATTTCTAAAGTTTCATTTAATCCTTACAATCTTATATTTTCCTCTTTTAAATTATTCGTTTGCGTTGAGGTTTCTTCTTGAAGAATTTAACATTTAGATTCTAGTTCTAATAATTCCAATTTTTAAGCGTTTTCATGATATTTTAGTTCATTTAAATTTGATTCTAGAGTATTTTTAGTTTATGTTATATTTGACAATTGTTCCCTAAATATTTTCCACTTCTTAATTAAGTTCTAATATAAGCTATTCTAGTTCAAAATTCTTTTTCTCTAGCTAATCTAACCAATAATAAATTTTATTTTTAATTTC